CCTCCGAGCCTCAGTTTTCCAGTCTGTACAACGGAGCACAGGGTCCCTGCCCAGGGAAGCTGTTGTGAAGATGAACAAGGACCAGGAGGGCAGAGGGCGGCGTGGCTCGTGGGTAGGGTTGGCTCGGGTGGGGGGTGCTCGCTGTGCAGGGGCTACCCTGGTCCTCTCACGTCACCAGGTCTGGCACACAGCTAAGCTGTTGTGAAGATGAACAAGGACCAGGAGGGCAGAGGGCGGCGTGGCTCGTGGGTAGGGAGGGCTCGGGTGGGGGGTGCTCGCTGTGCAGGGGCTACCCTGGTCCTCTCACGTCACCAGGTCTGGCACACAGCGCACACTCACCAGGGTCCCCCCTCACACCACTCCCTGCTAGAGACTGCAGGGAAGGAGGCCGGGCTCTGCTTGCAGTTCACCTGCCAGGGGGCATCAGCTCCTTAAAGCCCTCTCTGGGCCTCTCTCTCCCCAACAAATGGACGGTGATGACTGCCAGCATCGATGCAAGCAGGCCCCCATCCTTGAAGGACAGCCTTCCTGTCGTCCACCCCAGCATGCCCCGCCCAGCCACAGTGGCCACAACAAGCAAGTGGAATAGGTGAGTTCCAGGGCCCTGGGCTCACGCCAACCCATAAAGCACTTCTCAGCTGCCTGCTCTGCTCTATTAAAAAAGATACACTTTGTCCTTTGAAAATTCAAACTGAAAGCCAGTGTGTGTTTCCCAGCTGAACAGCATTTCAAGGGCAGGATGAGGGAGCTGCCTGCCTCTGCAGGGCTCAGCAGGGTAGACAGCCCTTTACCTGCAACTGCCACAGTTCCTTCCACCTGGCCCTGCCACCGCCACTAAGGGGCCTTTCCCCCTCTGGGTCCCTCATGTCCTCTGGACAGCAGGATTGCTGGTACGGTTCTGAGCTGGGGGAGCATTGCAAGTCCAGGTGTGGGGGGTGTGGTGCTTACCAAGACATGCCAGAGGGGCTGATTGCAGGAAAAGGGAACTACTTTTGGAGTCAGATTGTCTTGGGTCTTTTCCCTGGCTGTGTCATTGCCTGTGTGATCTTAGGCAAGTCACTCCACCTCTCTGCGCCTGTTTCCTCATCTGTAAAATGGTGATGTCGATGGCGATGAGGGTCGCTTGATTGAGTGCTTATGCCATGCTTTAAGCTCTTTGCAATATCAACTCATTCAATTCTCATCACGGCTGGGGGTAGCTGCTATCCTCCCCATCTTACAGATGAGTAAACTGAGGCTCAGAGAGGTAAAGGCCAGCTAGCGAGAAGAGGGGAACTCAGAGCCAAGCAGGTAAGGGTGTGGAGCGTGTGGCCTCCTAACAATCATGTGGCCATATCACTCCAGGGTGATGGGGGCTGGCACAGGATGTCCTTAGCTAGTGTTGGCTGAGCTGAATGAAACCAACTCAAGGGCATACTTCCCGAGGGAGTTTCTGGCCCTAAACTCCCAACATTCGGCTGAGGAGCCAGGGAGGTATCACCGAAGTCTTCCTTCAGATCTGCCCGGAGTCCCACTCGGCTGGGAGGGCCCGGGCCAGCAGGCTAGGAGGGCCCGGGCCAGCACTGCCCTTGTTTATGCCCGAAGCAGCAGGGTGGGCCCCTTCGTTCCTGCCTCTGCCCCTCCCAGGCCCGATTAGTCTAGCCTCAGGGAGTGCTGGGGGGGCGCGTTACAGCTGGGCACTGCTGTTTCCTGCTGGAGAGCCACTCAACCAGCCCCACATGGAGAACCAAGCTATGACTCCGGAGATGAAACCCTTTGTCCCAGGCCTCTGCCAGCTCACTGGCCAGGCACGGTGCTAGGGTCTGTGCAGCACCTTCCTGGAGCCAGCCTCTGAATGCCACCCACATTGGCCCCCAACACACGCCCGCACCAGCCCTGCAAGCTCAGGATGAGGACCCACTACAACAGCGAGGATCTTTACAGCACCATTTTACAAATGAGGAAACAGCCCACAGATTCTGGAGTCGAGGCTTGGTCCTCACTCCTCCACTCAGGAGCTGTGGGCTTTCGGCAAGTGACTAACCCCTTTTAAGCCTCAGTTTCTGCATCTGTAAAACAGGGGTAAAAATAGCTCTCACTCCGCAGAGTGCCGTGAGGTCCCCCAGGTAGTCCCATCAGGAGCCTGGAATGGGGCCTGGCCCTTAGCACTGCCCACTGCCCACCTCCTCACACCCAGACCGGGCTGACCTGGGCCTTGCCCACCACTTCTATGTCCTCGTCCCTGGTGCTGACCCTTGAGGGGTCACCTGCTCCCCACCCAGGCTGTGCCTCTGGTGCTAGGGATGCCCTGGTCACCAAGGACAAGGTTCTGCCATCCCCCGCAAGCTCCAGCAGCACCCCAGGGTTCCAAGACCCCCTTTCTGCCTGCTGCCCTGCTAGGGCCCCTCATCTGCCTCCCACATCGTGCAGAGCCCCCATCACAGCCCAGGTCTGCCTGCCCACACATCCACCCCACACTTTCCCAGACCCCATTCCCAGTGACCTTAGCCCCCAGGGACCCTCCCTCCCCCTTCCTTGCTGCCAAGTCTGAGGCAGCTGAAACACACACTCTAGAATCTGGCAGAGCTGGGTCCAAACATGGCTCTACAGGTGCGTGACCTGGGGCAAGTTTCTCACCCCCCACCAGCCTCGGGTTTTTTCATCTGTAAAATGGGAATAATTACCTACTCCACAGAGCTCTGAGGATGGGTAAAATACCAGCGTTTATTGGGCAGCTACCCCATGTCAGGCCTCGTGCTCTGTGAATTTAAATCTTCATTGCCTTTAGTCCTGAGGTGATGGGGACACTTTACCTCAAGAACACACAGCAGCCAGGTCCCATCCACAGCCTATATGATTCTCCAGGAACAGAAGCTCCACAGCAAAAAACCATGTCCCTCACCAGACCCAGACGTCACAGCCCGCATGGGGTGAGCAGGTGCCAGGCACCTCCAGTCAGATACAGAGAGACCGATGGCAAGAACAGGGATCTCAAAGTGTGTTGTTAGTGCATCGGGGTCTGGTCCAGGAGGTCAGCATTTTTGGCAATTTGTGATCTTGGAACCCTTCCCCCCTCCTGAAGAGGGGGTCCATGGGAGCACCCCCCCAGATGGTAAGGAACACAAGTCCTGTAGGTCGGGCTGGTTGAGGTCAAGGGACACCTCAGCTGAACCACTTTCCCGCCCCACCCCGTTGCCTTTGGCCAAGATGACAGCCACCAGAAAGGAGGGGTGCATGCTCCCTCCACCTGGCCCAGCTTCCCAGAGGACCCTAATGTCCCCTTCACAGTAGGGCCGAGGGAAAGGCCAGAGGTCAGGCCCACCTGGGGTTCCCGGACTCAGAAAGATCGGGGCCTGGGCAATTTGGGTAAAACCAGTGGAGACTACAGCCCCACCCAGGGCCTGCCCCAGCCACCCACCCTCACGGCCTCCAGGCCAGGAGGGAGACCCCCTCTGCCTTCCCTCTGGGAAGCCCAGCCTAGCCTCTC